ACCGCCGCGGCTATCGCGAAATGTGTCTCGCGTGCCCAGCCGTGCCCCTCTAAAGGCCGCTGCCCGCGTGCCCGGCTCAGCTATCAACAATTTAAGGGAGCCTGATTGAGTCAAGTTGAAGAAGGCCGAGCGCTGCGAGGCCGTCACCTGATCGTGGAGCTGTCCCTTAGGGAGCGAGCGGGACCGGCGGAGCAGGCACGCGTCGGAGACAAAAGCTATTGAGGTCTCGGGCACGGCCTTGCCGGGCAGGGCAGGGCAGAGGAGGGCCGGGCGAAGGCTGAAGGACCCACCCGGGAGGACAGTACACCTATTCGGAAAAGGATTTTGCCCGGAGAGCTGGGCCTCGCCGCCGCAGGAGCCGCAAAGAAAGCAAGCGCCTCCGGACCGGCTGGACCGGCTCCGACGCACCACGCCCAGCCACGGCGAGCCAGGCGCAGCTGCTGCCGCCACCCGCTCTGGTGGTGTGTCACCCCAATAAAAAAAATAAAACGCTCGCGCAAAGAAACGACAAAAAGACGGAGCGGGCAAAAAAGGAGAAAAAAATGTCGCAAAACGCGCACGCGGGACGACGCGAGCGATGTGGTTGTTGTCGCTGCGCTGCGCACGCTGGGACTCCTAGCGCTGCTTGTGCATGTTTTATGACAAGTCTCTGTTGGGGCCCCGCCCTACCCGAGGCCGCTCGCTGCGTCGGACTGCGTAGTGCAGGGAGGACACTGACGTTCCTCTCCCGCTTTTACTCTGCCTCTCTTCGTCGTTTCTCGCTGTGTCCCGAAGCGATTAGTCCGAACGTCTTTTCCTTTCTCTTCCCTTCACCTCTCACGGGACTCGACCTTACGGACGCTCACTCGCCCCCACGCCCGACCCGCTCCGACTCCCCCGCACTGACCGGAACCGGAAAGCCATTCAGCCGCCTCAGTTCTAGCTCAAAGGAAATCCATACCGACGACGCGGGGGCGCGGTAGAAAAAAGACCCGTGGGTTTCTCAAGGAGCCGAGGAGAGGTGGAGGGGAGAATTGGCGAGGACAAGAAGTCCCTTTCTTTACAACGACGGCTTCCAACGTTGACGATTTTGATGAACTTCTTATTGAATTTTCGAATTGTTGTGATATGTGTGACCAAAAAATTCTACACTCGATTGTTTCATTTTGTAGTACAACTGAGACCACAATTTGTGTCGATTGTCTGATGTATGTGTGTGTCTGATTGTGTGTGTGTCTGATTGTGTGATTCTATAAATTGTGTCCTGATTGTTTGAACACCCAACATTGACAGAACAAAATTGATGCGCACGAAACATTTTTGGCAGAGCTCTGCAAAAAGAATGGTTGGCTTATAACTTTTGGACCACTAAAGATACAGACCTCAGAGAATGCTTTTTTGAGTCTTTCTGAAAAAAATTCAATGCCCACTACATCATCCACCTGCCCATCATAGAGACACCCTTTTCTCTCTAGCCTCCTCTTAAACTCTAAAAGTTCTAAATACTACAGCTGTAAACTCATATTGTTCAAGAGGTAGATTCTTTAGAATGAGTTAACTATAACTTAAGTAGGATAGTCCTATTTCGAAGTGCATGCGTGTCTGAAAAAACAAAATGACATTCTCAATTTTTTGTGGCTCGGAGTTCTGTCCGGGCAGGTCCATGTCGAGGTCCCTCGATTTATGGAGGAAATGACTGCCGGTGCTTTGGCCTTCTGAGGCACATCCTTTTTTCTTCTTTTCTTTTTTTCACCTTCATGCCCATCTAGCGCTCGCCCTTCTCCGCCCTCCTCCCATTGTCGACTCATAGCCGGGCCCTTTCCCCATTTGACGCCCGCCCCAGCCCTCCTCCTCTTCTTCTTCTTCTTCTTCTTCTTCTTCTTCTTCTTCTTCTTCTTCTTCTTCTTCTTCTTCTTCTCGTCGCTTCTCCTCGTCTGCCCCCTCCTTCTTCTCGGCTTCGAAAAATAAGTCGGGGTTATCGGTCCCAAGGACGTGCTCGGGGTTGACAAGCAACCGAGGCGCGACGGCGTGGTGTTTGTCCCGCAACCGGACAGGGCCGGGTGGGGTGGGGCGTGGCGTGGCGGGGGGAGAATGACGTGGCGTGCCTAGGTCAGCAGAGCAGGAGGAGCAGGCGAAGGGGCCACGTGACGCCCGCCAGCCACTTTGGAGCCAAATTGGAAGGCACGGTGGTCAACGTTGTCCCCCGGGCCCTCCCCCCCGCCCCCGGCCCCCTCCCCCCGAAGCTGGGCCCTCCCGGCCCACCTGGATCCACTGATTAGATTACGTCCCGTGAATTAGGAAGGGAGCCCCGCCTGATGGCGCCAAGAGGTACCCGCCCGCCCCCAACGGATCGTGATTAATTTTTAATTAAGCTGTTTAGGGCGGAAATGTGATGGCGATGGCGCAAGGACTGGCGAGAGTGTCGGCACAGGGGGGAGGGGCACTTTGGGCTTTTGTATCCGAACAGCAGGCGGCAGCGCGCCGCACCGCCCGGGAACCAGACAGAAGAAGAAAGTAATAAAACGAATAAAAAAGGAAGCGAACGGAAAAAAAAGAATTGAATGTGGGGTAAGCAGGGAGATTGCCCCCCCCCCCTCCCCTGCTGGCAGTTATTCGTCGCGCGGAGCGATATCAGAAGGCGGTCCGTGGGGCGCGGCTCGGCTCGGTGGAGCAGGGCGGGGCGGGGCGGGGCAGCGCGGCGGGGCGGTGGGGCGGCCGCACCACGGTTTGCATACAAACGATGTCCTGAGGATTGTCCCGCGCCGGGCTGGACCCGGGCCGCACCGCTGCAGGCAGGAGGGGTCCTAATGGTGCGGATTGGACGAAGCGTCGTGTTCCGGTGGTGGGGCCGGCGGGGCGTGGGGAAGGGGGGAGCAGCTTGCTCGCGCTCAGAGCCTCTCTGCAGCGGCGGCGGTGCGGACTGATCGAGCCCAAGTTTGTTGGGCTGGGGCACGATGGATGCGGCGACATCAACGGTGTAAATTGAACATTCCTGTCGGCCCCCACCTGCTGGGCCATTGGCGGCGGGGCAAAAGCGGGGGCGGGGCGGGCCGACCAACTCGCCGCCCTTACCGGTCCGGAACAGACCTAACGCGCCACCTCTCCTCTCCCAGCCCCATCCCACCCCACCCCGCCTCTGCCCGCCGCGCTACCTCGACAAGCCCTCGGGCCTTTCGGACGCCTCAGCCCCCCGTTGGACCGAATCTTGTCTAATTGGGAGACAATGTAAAGCATGTCCGCCGGGACGCGCGAAACTTGTGGACCAAAAGACGTCTGTCTGGAATTGTCAGGAAATAATAATGAGAAAAAAAAACTGTCTTTGTCTTTGTCTTGCGGGCAGCGGGTGTCGCTACGGTGCTCGGACGCCCTCTCGCCTCGTGGTCCTTTTGTCGAGATCCATCTCGCTCAGCCCCAGCGTAGTAGTGTGTCCCCTCGCGGTGACGACCGAAAGGGCAGGGCAGGGAGGGGGGGGGGAGACTTGCGGGCGGCATCGGGGTTTGAGTTGCGGCCAAGTTAGTTTGGTGACAAGCCTCAGCCTAAGCTGCCATTCTCAGCCCTCCACCCCGCCCCGCCCCGCCCCCGCCGCAGAGGTAATGAAGCAGGCAGAACGCCTTGGGCAGCAAACTCTTTTTCCCGAACCTTTCCCATAATGAAGCCCCAGCCCGAACAGAACGCAATTAATCGGAATCTGAATGGCGGAACGCGTCTGCCGCGGTTGGCTGCATTTGTCAACGGCGACGAGGCAGGGGTGGTGGCGGTGGCCTCACAGAGTGGGGATGGGGGGGGGGATCTCGGACGCTAAATGATTTGTCGCGCGGTCCGACATTTCCAAGTCGGAAACCTGGTCGGTTGTGGGGGCTTGTTAGGGGTGGGGGCACGGGCCTCATTGACAGGCTGCCACTTCCAGGGGGAGCTGTCATCGCCAGCTGACTTGTTGCCGGCAGGGCGTCTCCAGTGACAGCGAGTAACTGCTGCTTCTTTCTCCATTGTTCTTTCCCATCTTATTTTTTTTTAAATTTGGAGCACGCGCTTAAAGGAGCACTTATTGGGTCGTGCCGCAGGGGCCTGCTGCTGGCCGCGTCCCGCTCCAAGGACTCGACTCCCTTCCACTGGCTGGCGTCCGACGGCTGGGGCCGCCAGCCGCACGTGGTCCGCGACGTGGAGGAGGTGGCCGAGGGCGCGCTCACGGTCGAGCTGCACACCGAGCCCATCCCGGGCTTCGACGCCTACATGGCCGCGCTCACGCCCGAGAACAACCGGCGGAACCCCTGGTTCGACGAGTACTGGCAGGAGACCTTCAACTGCTCGCTGGCGGAGGGCGCGACCGACCACTGCGCGCCCAAGCTGCGGCTCGGGCCCGAGTACGGCTACCTGCAGGTAAGTCTCTGTGTGTGTGTGTGTGTGTGTGCGTGTGTGTGTGTGTGTGTGCGTCTTGTAGTTTTCATCTAATCGCATTAACGAGCGCCCTGTGTGCGACCCGCTTGTCTCGCCCGCAGGAGTCCAAGGTGCCCTTCGTGGTGGACGCGGTGTACGCCTTTGCGCACGCGCTGCACGCGCTGCAGCGGGAGGTGTGCCAGGGCAACGGGACCTGCCCGGCGATGCTCAGCATGGACGGCGGCAACTTCTACCACAACTACTTGCTCAAGGTCAACTTCACCGGTGAGTAGTATGCCTACAATGTTTAATTTTCAACATGTTCAAAATCCTTGGGGCCAAAAATCTGGCTCGTGCGTTTTTTAGACAGTCCCTTAAAGACTGTCTCTACCAGAATTAAAAGTCTCTCCTCCCCCTCTCCACTCCTTGCTATCTGCAGCACAGAGCGGGTGACCGGCGTGTGTCATATGTTTGTGCGTTTGTTTGGGCAGAGCCGGCAGCCGCCGCTAGAGCGGCTGCCTACGGCCGCTGCTCACTTCTTCCTCCTCCCCTCCGCCCCTGGATGGCAGGAGAGAGGAGAGGGAGGGGGGGGGGGGGCAGCGCGCCTCGCGCCACGACGGCGGGTTTGCGTGGACTGCTGAATCTCCCTTGAGCTGTACGAAAAATTGGAGGAGAAACTTTACAGTCGAGGTTACTGTACATATTTCTTAGCCCTGTGGGCGATTTTTTTTATTTTCAATTATAAGTGGGAAAATAGAAACGACTGAATTCGCTTCGTCGAGATTGAACCATCGAGTCATCCGGGGTCGGGCCGCCGCAAATAAAGGGTCAACTATCGGTCAACTATCAGGTAGATTTGAGCACCGCTCGGGCAAAGGAATGACCAGATTGACTGCCCCCACCGCCCGGCCCGCCCCCCCCGAACCCAACCTGATTACCCAAATGGTCCGTGTTACTCCGGCGGGCCAGGTTGTGGCGGGGTGGCGGCGGCGGCCCCCTGCCTGCACAGCGCCGCCTGGGCCACCCGACAAAGGACTTATTTGGCAACATTTTCGGCGTCTCTCGGAGACAATCGACGGGGCTCCGTGGTCCCTGCGGTCCCACCAGCGCCGTGTTCGCACCCCGCCGCCCCCCTCGTCCCACCGCTCGCCCAACCGCTCGACTCATTCGGACCAACTCCATGACGCAGCCGGACTGGGAGGATTCATCACGCGTGTGATAACAAAAATTAAACAAAAGAGAGGCGTAGAGGCAGCAAAAAACGCCTCTCATGTGTATTCGACTCTTTCCGTCCATCCTTTTTGCGGATGGATATGAATCGCATAAGCCCGTCTGGTTTGCTTTTTGACGGGCAGCGACAACATTGCATTACCGCGTCGGAGATGGAACGGGCAAGGGGGTAGTGGGTTGACAGGTCAGCGACGATCAATACCTGGGCAATATCGCACTGGCAGTAGTGTCTGTTGGTCTAGTGCTGCAGTCGGGTTCAGCGCACGATTTAATCTGTGTAAGTGTCAGCGTCAACCGAAGCGTGACATTAACGCCCAGGCTTTAATTCATTGCACTCCCTCAACTTAAAAAAAAAATATGCAAAGTTACGTATTTACACCTCTATTAAAACCAAACACTGCGCACAATTTTTTATAAATATGATGTGTTTGAAAAAGGGATTCGAAAAATATATAATTATACATGATTGCGACACTCTGTAAACACGCCATTATTTGTTTGGAACGGTGCGGCGCAAGCGCGTGAATATACAACGAGACTTATGTGTTTGTTGCGGCCGCGTCGGCCTCGTTAGAAGCGTAAACTAGGATAATTATTATCAGCACTGCCTGCGCGTTTATTCAAATCGTGTGCTGTTGTACATCGCGAGTGGGGGTGGGGGGAGGAAAAAGAGACAGGGAATAACTACACTGTCGTGACTCTTCCTCCTCATGCATGACAACACTGGGCCGCTGTTACGGCGGTCAGCCGCATCCCCGCCCTGGCTCTAGCCTCGCCCACCTGTTTCATATTCATATCTGTTTCCCTCCGCGGCTCGCTCGCCATGGTTCAGACCTCGGAGGCACGTCGTTGAGTGCGGCCAGTTTCGCCCCCCTTCCCAGCGACATCACGTATTGTATTGTATTGTTTCCGCGGGCGGGTGTCTACCTGTGCTCTCCCCAGTGTTATTTAAGTGGAGATAAATTTCATACAAATCAAATAATGACCAAAACGCGAAATACACATTTTACTGCACCTACACGGAAAAAAAAAGGTCAGCTGTGGTAGCTTACGCGTTTGCTGGCAGCGTGACAGCAAACTTTTTAGCTCTCCGGGCTAATCGACGTTGCTTGAGAAAGACATCACGACAAAAACTCCAAAGTTCGCTCTTCCAGCCTGTTTCGATTAGCTGATACAGCTAAGGTACACTAGCTGGGGAGAGCCAACGGATTTTCCAGTGTGACTTATTGCACACAAGTGTGCTAACAGATTCTCGCAACTAGTGTAGCCTTATCTAGTAAACTCCGCGCACTCCAGGCGATTAGGTGTAACAACTGACCACATTGGGTAACAAAACGTAACTTGTAAAGTGTCAGAGGAAATGACTAGTCTCCAAGAGCTTTGGTGATAGCTTCTCAACATAAAATCGTGATTTGGACGAACTTTTTCAGTCCCTGCAATGCCACAGAAAGCGGGCCGCGAAAAAACGGGGGATGAGAGTGAGAGGACAAGATTGTTTGTTAATTCATATTTTATTTAACAAATGAGCACAAGCTTAGTTCATAGAGTTGACTACAAATTTCTTTGGTGTGTTAATACAATTTTTATCTACATGATGACACAAAAACAAATTAATTACAAAATACAAAATTATATTACAATTACAATAAATGTCTGAGAGAAACATACTTCTTGCTGCAAATCGAATGATGAACACTCAAGGGCAAAGGATCATATAGTTCAGAGGGCAATACAGTTGACCATTTCTCGTCAGAGACTTCAACCTCATAGGCATGAAGGTGGTCGTCAAATCCAGAGCACATCAAATAAGAAAATACAAAAGTGAAGTTTTCATTTTCACAAAGAAGAATTGATTTCAATAACCCAAAAACTGGTCCTCCAGATTCATTCACTTCAAGTAGAAGAATCATACCTGGTTTGTAAGTACTTCCTTTAAAATTAACCCAGTTTGCAGACAAACAGCCTTTGGAAAAAGATAAATGAAAAGACACAGGCAAATTATGAACAAAACTATGGTTTGAGAAATCTGACAATAAAACTTCTGTGGAAGGACCAAATTCTGTGGAAGGGATGATAGACTTCAGTGATTTAAAATGGTGACTTACATTAAGTTGATGTTGGATTGTAACAGTCTTTGCAATATTAGTTCTAGATTCTGTGGCCCGAGCTGGTATTAAGAGACTTCGGTGTTTCCTTTCAAAGGTTTTAGTAGAGGTAAGAGCCATTGGGCCACTATTTTCAAAAATTCTAGAATAATGAACAAGATGATGCATTTTAGGTTTTAGAGTATCACCAGTTACATTAACATACATAGAGTTAAACTCACTAACAAGAACACGTAGAGCAGATCCCTGCCTACGAGAAAGCGACTTGCAAAGTACAATATCCATTAAATTGCAAAGTTTTAAGTACAACTTCCAGTGCTCATCATCATAGGGGACCTTATCACCAATAATTATTCCAAACAATTTCACAAAAAGTAGCGTTTCAGAACCAGACATTTTCAATTTTCGTTTTGCAGCAAACTCATCACACAATAAAGGAATTCGGTTAGAATCCGTTGGTCCATACTGAAACATCTCAATTCTATGATTAAGCAAATCAAGTGAAAAAAATTTACTGGTTATGCTGTGTCGAAGTACATGTAACATCACATAATGACATGAGCCCTCGCAGAGGTCATGGAAAACGTCGACACAAAAATTAGAGGTCATGTGAAATGTAGGCAACTGATTAAAAACAGAGTCTGACTTCACACCTGTAAGCTTCATACAGTCAATCGCAAGATCAGCAACATAAGACTCCTTCGTTCTCAAGGTTGTGACATCTTCCACAATTTGAGTTTGAGTGACTTCTCTATGTGTTTTACAGAATCTACAGAAAAAGTTGGCAGTGAATCCTTCTGCAAACCCGCCCACTGAATTTAGACCAAGATTGTCACCCAACAACAAACTACACACAAAAAACACTCGTTTTGGACCATCAGATGTATTAACAACAATACCAATCTCTTCAAGATATTTCAGCTTAGAAATTAATGGAGCAAAAGCTTTGGCATCAGAAAAACACCTATAATCGGAATCAAAAACTAGAGAAACAAAAATGTTATTGATTGATGATTGACATTCTGGTGGAAGGCAAGCTATCTGAACGTAGGCACAGCCTAACTTACTAACATGAGATCCTAAAGGGTTATTGCATTGACATTCATCATAGTATGCATGTAAGGGAAGAACAATATCATCATCAGAAAATTTACTACGTTTCGTTTTCCATAACTCACTCTGAACAAAGTTTTGTACAATATCTGAATCAGCCTTGCATGACTCAACATACTGAAGAATATCATTCAGTGCATTAGGTATCTCCAAAAATTGTTTTAGAGATAAATCAATGGGAACAGTCTGCCCATATACTTTAGTTTTCTTTAAATTAGCACCATGTGCGACATCAATTTCACCTATTTCATATGAAATGGGAGGTATGAATTCTCCAGTAGAAGTGAAGTATTTAAATCTAAAGTACTCTGAGCGCAAGTGAGAGAACGGATTTTTCACTACATCATAAGCTTTTGTTAAAGCAGAGGACTGTTCATTAGTTAGATTCAAGGATGTTAAGTTATCCTTTAAAAAAGTAAGAACACCATTTTGGAGAAAAAGAGAAGTGTCATCTATTATGTCTTGAACAAATTGTCGTGGAAGTTTAGATTTACCATACAACTTTGAAACAAATTTATCTGCTTCACTTCTAAGAATATTATTTATATCTTGAGCAGGTTTGTCACTGTCACAGTTTACTGAATTAGTAGCTTCTGTAATTACATTTACAGACGAATGTGAAACATCAGTTGAATCTGTTTGACTAAGATTCTCAACTATATTTGATACATGACTAGAGTTTTCAGCTAAATCACTAGAAGTAGAAACAATCTCAGATACAGGATTAATTTTAGCAGTTTGAAGCACAGAACCTTCACAAATCTTCATATGTCTTAGAAATGCATTTAAAGTTGAATATTTCCGTCCACACTTTCTAATACATGAATAAGGCAACAACGAATGTGAATGTTTATGGTGCTTAGCAAACAAATCAACAGTTGAAAACTGTTTGCCACACTGAGGGCAAATCATTTTCGGGTGAACAGGTTGTATTCCTTCAGGCGATTAGCAATAAATGAGCGCAATCCACGGTCATTCTTGTAGTCCGAAGCAGTATCGATATTGAAGAGAGTCTTCTGAAGAAACACCCATATATGCTTAGCTTCAGTAGGGAACTGGACACCAAGCCCAAAAGCAATATGGAAACAGCCCATAAAAGCCTCAAATGCATCAGAGACTTCCCACCTAGTTTCATCCATAACAATGAAGCACTGTCGGATGCTGCCTAAGTTTCCTAGAAATACAGGAACTGGCTGGACAGAATATTTGTACTTCAAGAGGCGAAGTTTCCTTTCCTCAAATCTTTCACGGATTTGTGCAACTTCCTGTAAACAACAAAACAAGAAATTATAAGGTGTCTAAGCATTGAACAGTAGTATGCATGGCTAAAGTGAAGTAATGGTAAAATACTGAAAAATATAAACAACTTTGTAGAAAATCATTCAATAAACTAATTAGTTTGAATAGATATAAACAATGTTAGGAGGCTTCATGGAATTTTATGTATGATTTTAACTAAAGTCAGTGATAGGGTAGCTAAGCATTGAACAGTTGTATGTATGGCTAAAGTAAAGTAATGGTAAAATACTGAAAAATATAAACAACTTTGTAGAAAATCATTCAATAAACTAATTAGTTTGAATAGATA